CTGGTTGTGGGGCAGATATAGCTTTAGTAACCTGGGTGGATGACCTACACTGGCAGCTAGTCGCAAAGAATATGTCTCTTTGATTCTGTTGGAATTTTAAGCAGCTTTCAATACATTGACCATTAATAGCCTTCTAAGTTGCCTTACAGGGATGAAACATGAGGGCACTGTTTTACAATGGCTCCATCCCTTCCTAGAGACATCCAGCCAGAAGGTTGTGCTGGGGGATGTCTGCTTAGTCTCTTAGCTATTGGCTTGCAGAGATCCATAGTGATTGGTCATTTCCCACATGCTATTCAACATCTAAATGAGAGGTTGCTGAAGTTATGAGGTTTGATGCCATCAGTATGAAGATGACATTCAACTCCATTACTCCTTTCCACCATAAGCCAAGGAAGCTGTTTTGGTTCTTAAACAGATACCTGTTATCAACACTGGACTAGATGAGTGCAAAAAAGTTGAAATGCAATCCAGACAAGATGAAAGTGTTCTTTGTCATTTGGAAGGAAATTAGGGAAGAGATATTCAGTCTGTGCTGGATGGGGTCCATTGCCCCTGAATATGCATGTTCATAGTTGTATTCCTGGAATCAATCCTGGGCCTGAAAGCTGAGGTGTCAGAAGTGACTAGGAGTACATCTGCACAATTAGAGTTTGTGTGCAAGCTGTGTCCATTCTTTGAGATGTTAGAGATGTTTGAGATTTTACCTTGGTGGCACACACCTTTGTTACAGCCTAGTTGGATTACTCCATGTGGAGATGCCTTTAAAGAGAGTGTTTTGGAACTTGGATTTTGAGCAGACTTCAAGAAACATACAACTCCTGTGTTGCAACATCTTCACTGGCTATTTGAAGGTGAGAAAGCTTCTCAGTGGTTGCCCATAGGCTCTGAAACTCACTTATCAAGAAATCAGACAGAGGACTATCACATTGGGATGTATTCAGTTTCTGAGACTTTTTGAATGTGATTCCAAATGGGACCCATCACATTCTTGTCCTAGTCAGTAATTCATCAGAATCTGTCTACAAAATGTTGCAGAAACTGAGTAATTGCACATGGGATTCAAACTTTTTTTATTTAGTACAGTTCTGAGATGCTATTTTTACATGTGATCATAAAATCAGTAAAATCTATCAGCTAAAATCTCATGAGAATTGTAGTTTGAGATTTTCAGGCTACGTTATTGTGCAATTATATGTTTTTCTTTTTAAAAGGGATGTAGGGAGGCATTTGAACAGACTGGGAGGAGACAGCCTTCCGTGGTGTGATGAGTCAAAGCAAAGTATTTTTAAAATGTAAGAATCGCCTGTGATGGGACCAGTATGCATCCCACCTGAATACAGTATGCATCCATTCCTATATATATATATATATATATATATATATATATATATATGGGATACATATTGATATAAACAGAATATATCTCACACATAGAAAAAAATAGCCAGGAAGTACAATTTATGGACCTCTCCCATAACTGTGGTCAGCTGCAGTTGGTTGCTGTGGTTAAATTATACTCTGCTGTGATCCAAAATCTTTAAACTACTGAGATACAGATCTGAGACCTAAGAATTTGGAGATGTCCCACGACAATGCAAGCTACAGTGTACCACTCAGGGAAAGACACGCACATCCCTCATTCTAAGTGGAATGGTACTTAGTCTTGCAACTGTCACTGCCACCCCAAGCAAGATGCATAGCACCAAAGATTGTTATTAGACTACAAAGGGACAAGGAGACAGCTGCACGCAGATTTAGTGGATGAATTGACATTATTGAACTGGCTGCCAAGAAGCTACCAAACTAAACTAAATTCGGCAGGGCTTCAAATGTACATTTTGGAGTACAGCATATATAAGTAAATCCATCTTATGTCTTTTGAATATATTCACCTCCTTTCCCCTGAAACAAGATTTTTTTTTAAAAAAAAATCCAAAATAAGGACATTTTCCAGACTACTTTTGACATGTCTCAGACCTACTCTTAACAAAAAAAATGAAGTTGGGGGAGGAAAGCAGAGAATACTTAACATCCTGGCAAGTGTGTAAATAGACTGGTTGGAACACAGCCAATATCTTTCTTGAGATCGTGATTGCAAAGTGTTTTAATTAGTAATGGAGGAGGAAGTAGTGGAGGGAGGTACATTCTCAAAAAGGAACTGAAGGTGTATAGCAGATGCACAGGTTAATAGTGGTGACTTGCTTGCCTTCAGACATATCTCCACCAGCTGTTATTTCTTACGAGGTTTACAAAAGCCTTTTGAAAAATGGTATATTAAAAAGTATAAAACTATACCCTCTCAATACTATATGCTTAATATCATATGCTTAATGCAATATTAAAAGCTATAAATACAAATTTAATACAACCAATGTCCTTCAATGAAATGTATTCTATTAAACACGAGGAAAAATATTTTTGAAATGCTATGGATTCTTCTGTTGCTGAAGCGCTGTGTTTGTGTGTGATAGGAAAATTTGTATGCTTCCCATCAGCAACAATACTTTTCAAAAAGTCATAGTGTGATGGTGGGGGGGTGTCAACCTTCTGTGGTGGGCTGAGTCAAAGCACAGTATTTTCAAATCATAAAAATCATAATAATCAGGTGTGATGAGGCGAGTATGTCTCCTGTCTCAATACAGTATGCATCCAGTCCTAAAAAAATGGGATGCATACTGATGTAAACAGATTATATCCCAATGTGATAAAGTCTAATGTCCTCCACTGTGATTTTATGGTCAATTTCCAGCAGAAATTGACTACAGAGACATGCTGGAGACCTAGGGAAAAATAGAAAATTATTTATTCATGTTTTTCACTTTCACATGGGTTTGCACCCCTAACCCCAGTCAATGTGGAAGGTTGACTGTAGTAGATTTACCTTCATCCTAAAGCAAAGACCAGATAACCACATATCCAGGATTTGGTATTATCACATTTCCTCCACTGGGGGTTAAATATTTTGCAGAGGTTCCTTAATTATATTGATTATTGATGATGTATTATGACCTCATCACATTGAGAGGGGAAAGCATGGGTGACTGTCCCCTTAAGAGTATAGAATCGCCCCTTACATAGTCAGCAGTCCCTTTCATGTTCTGCCTTCCCATCACACTCACACATGGAAACTTAAGAGCTGGCAATACATTCATCTTACATTCATCACAAGGTCAGTATTACTTTTTTGTTTTTAATCAGGAGAATCAACAATATACAAAAACCAAGAGATCCCTTGCCCCTCCTTACATTAAAGGAGACTGTTGTTTCCGTGGGATCTTATGGTTCTGCATCAAAGCCCATAGAATACAAGACACATTGATCCAGGTTAAAAGCATTGCTTTCCGCAGGATCCTATTGATCTGCACAAACCCCACACGACACAAGAGACTGCTGATTATTGGGCAATAAAACAGGACTGGAAACTTTGATGGTTCCTATCATACCTGTAAAGATGTGAGTAAAGCGTGATAAGATGTAGGATTGCTGGCCCATGTTCAGAGCTCCCTCCTTTCAGGACATTTCAGCCTCTTTTCAAACCTGGAACATGTATGAGTTCCATGCCTCTCCATGCTAGAAAAGAGGCTGCAGTGTCCTATGAGGGGGAAATTTCTCAATGTGATGAGGTCGGATTCCTGGAGTTCCCTCCTTTCAGGATACTTCTGCCTCTTTTCAACCACGGAGGGATATGCATTACTGCCAGAAGTAGTTCAACTCATGAGATGAGCTCAGTGCCTGAAGAGTCCTACAACTGGGAAATTTCTCAGTGTGATAAGCTGATTAGTTGCTACTTAAACAGTGCAGAAAGCTGTGGTGGTTTGTATACCCCAAATTATTTCCTAAAAGTTGATCAGCAATCTACTTCCTTTTTTCTTTGTATTGAACTTTCCAGATGTTTTTAATAAGTGTGTTAGGGACATGCACTGAGAGCACTGTAAATGCTTTCTCTTGTAAGTAAAGTATGGAGAATTGTGCAGGAGTGACAAATGTGCCATATAGCACATCTATGTGCTCTTCATTATTTATTTTTTTAAATCATACTATAAAGGTTCAAGCCCCGAGGTGTTCCTAAAGCAGATCTTTGGAGCTGGACCTACCTACATAAACAACTAAAATACTTTAGAGAAACAAAACTTAGTTTATTCATTGCAGGACAAATAAAAGCTTGGGAAGACAGGTGGACAAATGTTAGCGTGCTGGAAGAAGCTAAGACCACCAGCATTGAAGTGCTGCTCCTCCACCATCAATTCCACTGGTCTGGCCACATTGTCCGAATGCCAAATCACTGTCTCCCAAAGCAGTTACTCTACTTCGAACTCAAGAACTGGAAGCGGAAAAGAGATTTAAATATGGGCTTAAAGCCAACCTTAAAAACTGTGTCATAGACACCGAGAACTGGAAAGCCCTGGCCTTTGAGCACTCTAACTGGAGGTCAGCTGTGACCAGCAGTGCTGTAGAATTCAAAGAGACACGAATGGAGCGCAAAAGGGAGAAACATGCCAAGAGGAAGGCGTGTGTTAAGCCAACCCTGACTGGGACCACCTTCCATCTGGAAACTGATGTCCTCACTGCAGGAGAACATCTGGAACAAGAATAGGGCTCCACAGCCACCTATGGACCCACCACCAAGACACCACATCTGGAAAACTGTCATCCTCAAGCTATGAGGAATTGCCTAAATAAAAAGTAAGTAAAGAGAAGCTGCTCCATTTATTCCTTGCTGTTTAAAATAAGGTTTTACAACTCTTTTTAATCCAATGTTTACTTTAAATCCTGTTATGAAATGCTCAAATTCCGAACATTCCTCAAAATATATGGCCCCTTCAGGGGTTTAGTGTTTCCACATTAGAGTGCTCCCAATATTAAGATATATGAATATGAAAATATAACTGCCTTTGAAGGATATTTTAACATCTACCAAATGTACATACTTCAGAAATATGCTGGGCGAATATGTCATGTTACCAAGCAATTTTCTAGACTGAGCTGGAGAAGTACAGTTCATTTATATTGCTTTATTTATACCTTATTCAAATTTCTCCAAAAACATATTCTCCAGTAACCAAATGAAAGGTTAGCTTGAAAAGGGAGGAAATGCAAACAAACCATTAAAATGCATTTATTTTAGAAGTCCAGATCTAAGTATCTCAGCACAAATGTAGATATGTACATTCCACATTGTTGGAGGGTGGGGGAGGCCAGTTATTTTAAAAGCAGACACTGTATTCAAATATAACCTATTAAAGCATAAGGTCAAGCTGAATACTACTTCAAAGACATTGGTAGCAAGCCGTATCTTCCCTTCTTTTAAGATGGGGAAACTAGACTGTGTTTAGACTGTGTTTGAGTTGAGGAAGGATGACCCCCTCCTGCAGTAATTCTGATTGAGATCTAGCTCCTAGTGCCTACAATTTGAATGGTCAAAAAAGGATCCATTTATCAGAACTATTTTGACACTGTGGGTCAAACTGTAAAGAAAAAAGTCATTCTTAGTTATGTCTTTAAAGTAGCTGGTAGTTTGAATGCCAAAGTATTGGCATTCTAAAGACTGATTCACACCAAAGAGCAGATAAAGCTTTGCCATAATAGATGTTTCAAAGTGTACAGTTAAAGTACAGGTGAATCCTGGCCCGAATGCTGGTGTGAATTGATCTCCATTCCAGTTATGCAGCAAATGTAATGAGTTTTGTTACGGTAAGTCCTTGCAGGACACGAGTCTATGTGTGAAGAAAAACCTTATGGTTTGTAATTATCTTGTTCAGCTGCCTAAGTAGGTCAAGCAGCAATCTTGTGCCACGCCCAAGCGGCTATGACTGTTTGTGTGTTTTTTAATACAGTGTGGTGGGTGTTGGATTGCTGGTGGGCTGCTGCTGGAGTTCTGTTTCACCACTGGAGTTACAGCAGGAGATGCTGATGGTGAAATGGCTATTTACATCAGGTTGTTTTGACTTTCCATTTGCTGCTTAGAAGATGCTTTATTTTATGCATAAGGACTGTGTAAATATGCTGCACTGCTGCGTGCAAGCATTGCCGGTTTTGTTTTATCTCTGCAAAGTAAAGAGAGTAAAGATTTTCTTTTCACTTTGACTATTGGTCTGAGACTATTTTGTGTCTGGTATTTTGGGCGTTAGGTTGCTGGAATTAAAACACGCGCTGTGTAACAAGTTTTGGGTGCAAAGTGTGAATCAGTCATCATTTCATCCAGCAGACTATAGGTTGGTAGTAAACCGCACTTCACAAAGAGTAAAAAAAATAATAACAAAGTTTGGATCTGATGCATAGATCATAGAAGTAACTTCCTGATGAGTTACAGCTCTGAAATTTGGTATCTGCATAACTCAAGGCACTTCAGATGACTAGGAAAAGACGAACATAGAGCATTTATATTTATCTCCGTTAAAACCAGAGAAACAAGGAAGCTCCAAATAGTTCAGGCACCTCAAAAGCTGGATTTTGGCACACATGGAGCCGGAAATAACCCAAAAGACATGGATTTGGGGGGGGGGGGGAGTGAGTAAGCGAGAGATCGCTATCTCTCTCTACCAAAACAGGGGATTGAGCTATACTCCAAAATACACAGAAGCTGAAACTTGGTTCAGTCAAACAAATTATTACAAAAGTCAGAATGATAGAATCTTAGAAATCCTAATTTGAAAAAGTTCTATCAGGTGGCTGTAATAACCCCATGAGCATTAAAACAAGACATTTTTACACCTTGTGGTCAAAACAGCACATAAAGTTTATCTGATAACAGAAAATAAAACTTTATGTAAAAAAGAGGCCTAAATCCAATTGCTAATCCCAACTAGTCAACATTTATATCAAATCCATTGATCCAGTAGAAGCTAATATTTGGATTTAATTTATGGTTGACTATATGAGTTCCTTTTCATCTCTGGATGTATTTGAAGAGCCAGAGACTTCCAGTTGCTACCAGCAACACCGTCCAATGATTGCACAATGCAAGCTTCATTTACTCACACATTATGTACATACTTACAGACATAAATACAGTTTAAAAATACCGCAAGAGATGTTTTCAATTATATAAGTATACTGAGGTACATGTGTATATATTATATCCTGACACATGTTCACAGTAAATACCCCTGAAAGACTTTAAAGGCAAACAGGCAGCATGAATCTAAATTGAAATGTCTGTACTGTTCCCATGAACTCAGCATACAACATTTGTGTCTAGCCTGACTAAAACCACCAGCATATTTTTCTCCCATTTGTATGTCTTTAAACCAAATGGAGAAATGGCTAGATCTGCACATCTCTAGTTGATTTCAAAGCTTCCCCAAGAGCTGCACTGGTTGTCCAAGGGTCCACGTGACTCTTGACTTCTTAGCGCCTCTCCAAGCCCAAGCCGACATCCAGGAGAACCTGATAAATTAATGCTTACAGTTCCCTGACACAAACTGAGTTGATCAGAGAGTCACTTTGCTCAACTGTAGAGCCACATAGTGTACTGTGATAGTCCAAACTTGTGACAGTGCTTCTTATAGGAGTACCATTCAAAGTCCCTGGACTCCTTGCCACTGCATCACCTGTGCTTGCCATACTCCCAGTTCGAGATCGATAAGGAGGTAGGTCTATATGACTTTGGGAGTCTGTATCTGAGGAATAAGGAGGTGGAGGAAGATCAAACCATGGGGGTCTGCTGAAAGATATAAACAAAATGCCATGTCACTGGTTATATGTGAAGAAAAGTGGAGCATCAGAATTTATTCCACCAGTTTATGAAATCACTGTATTTAAGTAAAGCTTCATGGAAAATGTACATGATCTGATTGAACAAGTTTCTGTGGAAGAACTTTTACTATGTTGTACAGATGCAAAAGCTTTTGGGGTAGAGGGCTGATCCAGAATTTCAGAAAGACTGACTTTGAATGCATTGATTTGGTGACAACCTATCTCAGCAAACCTAATTCCTCTTACCTGGGAGTGATTTTGCAAATCTTTGACTTTAAAAATAATTTACAAAATAATGTTTAAATAAATGTATTTCATAGAGCACTTAATATAATGATTTTAAAAAGTGTGCTCTGCCTGAAGTATGGTGAGAAGTACAAGCAGGATAAATAAATAAATTCCTGAATTATTATTATTATTATTATTATTATTATTATTATTATTATCAACAACAACAACAACAATTTTATACCCCATCACTATCTCCCTGAAGGGGTTTGGGGTGGCTTACATGTGGGACAATTGTCCATAGAAACATAAAAGCAAAGAAATCCATAAAATAAAACCAATCAAAACAGGAACATCATAAAATATAACTACTAAAATGAGAACCATTATACATGGCAAAAGAAACAGAGCTGATATCAAACCACATTCAACTTAACCCAATAACTGGATTTCTAAGATGGACCTGGTCAAGCTATATAAGGGCTAGGCAGGGGTAGTGCAAATAGCAAATCACTTGGGAAATGCACAGTAAATGTGTGGAAGTGAATGAAGCTGAAACTACTATGAGAAAGAAGAAAACATTTGAATCCCATTTAGAGCTATATTTGTAAGTACCCTACTTTAAATAAGGAATTGAGATAATGCATCAGGAGATCCAGCTATGTTTTCTGCTTTCATTTTAAGCTAGGCAGTCCATCAGCAAGGAAATTTCGGAGGCACTGGAGGGCAGGGTAGTGAGCAATGGTATGCCCGGTCCTCTCCTGGTAGCAGGCCACAATGTGAAAATGAAGATGGTCATGTGTGGTCATGTCACCACTGCCTGTTGCAATGCTTTTAGGAGAGCACTGGGTGCATCATTGCTTACTGCACCTTGGAAAGCAGCAACAATGAATACATGGATTGCAGGATCAAGTGTAAAGCCGGGGGGGGGGGGGGGGGGGGGGGGGGGGGGCTATCAAAATGACAAAGCAGTTGCCACTATCACTATTGAAACCAATATTGGCCTTAGTAGCAGTGACAAGAAATGGACTCACCTCCTGTTCCTAAAAAACACACACACACCTGTAGGTATATAGTTCCCACATCAGATTATACTTTTTATTGGACTGATATCAGCTAACTGATGGCAGATATTCCATCGGTTTCCAGGAGCTGCATTTAAACAGACTCTGAAGCTAAGCCAATTTTCACACTAAACACATGGAGTCTTTAGACATTAGCTCTCACAATTTAGAATAAACAAAACAAATCCTATAGGCTGTATCTTTTCCAAAAGGAGTTTTGATATTTTTGCAGAGTAAATGAGCTTTGTTTACTTAATTGTTGCAAGTGATCCAGCTTTCTCAAAGTAACAATCTCACTGTAGGGAAATTACATTTTTGCAAATGCACAAAGCTCAATACTCTATTACTGGGAAATACAATTTCCCTTCCTGCAAATGGCTATTGTGTCTGTGAGTGCCCTGCAAAACATGACTGCAAGAATCTCATGGGCACTTTGTGATGCCATTAATGACAAATGACAATTCCCTGCCCCTTTGCTTGAATGCCATCCCTTGAAAAATTGATTTTTTTCTTAAATTATTTATTCTTCTGAGGTTGAACGTTCCATGCAGGATCAACTGCATAGCCTTTGAAGGGAAACTGGTGTCAAACAAAACATAATAAAATTCCTTCCATCCTCAGGCAGCAAAACTCTGTCATTTTGTACAATTTTAAATATTTTTTCAGTTCTTGAAAGATCTGTTATAGCAGCAGTGTGCGTATATCATTTTTAAACAGAACAGCAAGCATAATGTTTTCTTCTTAATTGTGCGGGAATAAAATAGCACACTCTTGGTGTTGGATTAAGGCCATTTGGGGCACAGTGCCAGGAACACATTGATCTAGTTTAGGAATAGGAATTATGTGGCTGTCCAGATCCTGGATTGGAAATTCCAGCATCCTTAGCCAGCTCAGCTTGTGAAGAATGCGGGGAGTCATAACCCAACATTTGGAGAGCTGGACAATTCAAAACTCTGATCTACACTTTATTCAAGGAGAGAACAAACTTTAATGGGCCAGACCAGTGGTTCTCAACCTGTGGGTCCCTCAATGTTTTTGGGCTTCAACTCCCAGAAATCCTAACAGCTAGTAAACTTGCTAGGATTTCTGGGAGTTGTAGGCCAACACACCTGGGGACCCACAGGTGAGAACTACTGGGCTAGACAAATGTGTGTTTGCATGAACATACACAAATATTGCATATTCAATAGTGAAACGTTTTTCGAATTAAATTTCAAATCACCACAAAAGAGATTGTAAGGGGAATCCCAATTTAAAGGCAGCCTTAATGCCAATATATTATTTGATTCAAATCTAACAAGATGATTAGCTAATTATATGGTGTCAATAATAAAATTCTACAGCTACATGCCAAGGTTCTTACATGCAAAAAAGGGGACAGATGGAATAATAATGGTAAGTAAAGGCTGAGCAATCTTTATCTGAAATGCCCAAATACTCCCAAAATCATTCACATGGGTGACTGAAATGGCGACACCTTTGTTTTCTGATGGTTTAGCACACACAAAAATTATTGCAAATATTGTATAAAATTATCTTCTGGTTATGTATATAAGGTGTATTTGAAGCATAAATGAATTTCATGTTTAGACTTGAGCCCCATCTCTAAGATATTTCATTATATATGTATATGCAAATACAGGTATTCCAAAATCCAAAAAACTTTGGATCTCAAGATTTTTTGATACTCAATCAGAACAAGATAAGTACTGTTGCAGGGAAATAGAAATCCACACAGAAACAAAGTTGCTATAGTTTGAGCATCAGCTGATTTATATTGATTTATCCCTGAGTTGTACACTGGTTGCACATACCTTTGGTCTAGTACAGCTTCTGAATAAGAGGGTGGGGAGTCAATGTCTGGTGGCGGTCTGTGATAGGCCTGGTTGGACATGTACTGGACCCCGTTGTTGACATTGTAGGTGACACTGCATTGATGTGGATGATCGAGGACAACCAGCCGGGACAGGAGGACAGGGTGCTGCAACCGATGCACTGGAAGTGTCATGAGATTGTTGCGCTTCCGCTGATGGTGCAGAACCAGAGCAAGGAGGGCCACTACCAGCACAAAAACTGCTGAACTGCCAATGATTGCATAGGTGATGCTGGGATAGAAGATCAGCGCAGGCTCTGTGGTCACATAATTTTGGTTGCTGTCAGAATCTGCAAAACAGAGAAAAAGAGAAAACGATTAATCTATGTGGAAGAGAAGTTGCACTTCCTTCCCTACAATGCTCATATGCCCCTAGTTGGCTGGTTTCCCACAGAATTCACACTTTTTTTAAAGGAAGTGTAGAAAATGAGCTTATCAGGAACATATGCATACAAAATAGAGACCAGCTGACTGAAATAGCCCATTTCCTCCCACTTGCTTCAGATGTTTCTGCTTTGAACAGATGTGCTCAAAGACTGCAAAGAAGATGCAACAGAAAAGACACAAAGATTTATTCAGCCCTTTATCAGCATTGACAGATTAGCTTTTAGTAAATAGCTGAAAAGGCAAAGTCACATCCAATTTCGGTGTGGCAATACTTACAGCAAAATTCAGATCAATTGAATCCCAGTACTATATAACAAAGAGGTTCCAACATTTTCTACCAGCCCGATGCTACCTATCTTTCTTATGCCTTGGCAGCATAGTTGCCTGCAGGTAATTCTTCCTTGCTGCGGGCAATGGAATGAAAGACTTTTCAATTCTATGTTAGTTACTGGCTTTGACCACATAGTATTAGCAGTTTCATCTTCCTTCCCCACTGGAAAAAAGCTGAATACAAAAAAAGGTAGCTGAGATGTTACAAAAGAAAAGGGAAATAATTGCAAAGAATTCATTTTATTTATTTCTCGGAACAATATTGTATCAAGATCACTTCTGCATGTGCCTACGCACTTCTTTTGTTGCAGTCCTTTGTTGGTAAGCAACAGGCTGCATGTACAGATCATTAGGATGTCATCTGGTAACACAAAAGGAATTCAGACAACTTCTGTGGCTTTGTAAAGACTGAAAATGGTTTCCTGGGATTTCACAAAAAGTACATTGCCCAAATATCCTAAAGCCAAAATCTGGTCTCCTGCTCAGTTTTAACATTTCAAAACAATGACTCTGTACTTGGCAAAATCCAAGCTGCAAACTCCATAGAAACTTAAAAATAAAAATCCCAGACAGAATATTTTAAACATTTAAGATGAAATGTCTCTATTGAAATAATGCTTGCCTCGCTACATAAGGAAAAAAAGGAAAGAATATGATTAGCAAACATAAGTCATACCTTCCTCTATTGTGTTCTTTTAAAGAAATAGTGAATGAAAGCCATTAATAATGTCTTATGGTATTATTACTGGAAAATGTCTTTCCTGCTACACACCACATTGAAGCCTTCCTAAACAAGTCTGCATTACCTGATCTTGACATTCCTCCCTTTGATGAGAGATAATTTTAAGTAAAGATATATCAATGTGTGACAACCACTCATCTCTGCAGAACTTGACTGTTGCCACCCCCCCCCCCCCCCCCCCGGACTTATTGCTTATAGTCCCAACCACGACATAATTAAGGAAGGCAAAAAAGAAAAAGAAATGGAGCAAGGATTTATATTGCTGTAGCTGAAAGCCACAAGCACATGCTTTTCATGCAGAAGGTCCTGTATTCAGCTAAGAAAGAAGCCTGCCTGAAACCTTGGAATGGCACAGCCACAGTTGACTATCCTATGTTAGCTGGATCAAGGGCCTGAGTCAATGAAAGGCAGCCTATGTTCCATTATGAAAACTTTTGAACCAAAGCACTCCTGACAGGTAGACATCCAGTCTCTACCTAAAAACTGGGTGCATGGCAGAAGTCAGGAAACCTGGTGTCTTCTATTTGTTTGGACTACAATTCTGGTATTCTGGTCCATTGCCAATCTTGGCTGAGGCTTGTGGGCACTGTAGTTAAAAAGAACTAACTCTGCCTGGTATACAGAAATGCACCATTGGGATGGTATATTTTGTCTCATTCCAGGAGTTACCTACACACCTAGGAAAAATAGAGCTACATGAAGGAACTGTTTACAGGCTACAGATTGCCCTCAGTAGATGAGACATTGGGAAGAGGGAGGAAAAGCAAAGATGGAAAAAGTTAAGTTTTTGGACTGACTTCCAGAATTTCCAACTATGGATTCAATATACCATGGCAGGAGATGGTAACAAGGTCTTTGGCAGCCTCTTGATACTAAAATTACATTTTTATGGGAAAAGTGTGACTTTTTAGTTCTGCTCCAATAATTTTCAGTAAATGTTTACACAGCTGAAGCTACTGAATTAAGTTCCCTGATAATGCAGGTGTAACATTTATCTGTTTCAACCTAGGTATAACATGATGAAAGATGTAGAATACTGTTTGTTCTCTTTTCTGACAACTGAAAGTGGGGAGAAACTGAATTAACTCAAATTTATGCTGCTCCCATTTTTTCAGGGTTCTCTTTGCAGTATCTCAGTATTGTAATGGCACCAAGTAGAAACAGTTCATCAAAGTCACTACTGCCTATTAAACCTCATTACCTGAAAATATGCTGACCATGCAGACTGGAAGCTTTGAGGATAAAAATATGTATAAGAGGTCTGTGAATAGTTAAAATTGAATAGAAACTTGGTAATGGAAAACATTATAGTGTGCACTTCTAAGATTGTTTTATTAACCATGAACAAATTACACCATCTTAAAATCATTGAGAAGGTCTAGGACCAATTGTATTAAGCCTCTTAGATGATGGAATTGGAGAGCCCATTAGTTGGTCTCTCTTGAGTCTGTACCAGCCCAGCTGCTTCACACTTCATCAAGACTAAAAGCTTTTGAAAGACATAATCAGAGCAGGCATCTGCAGATTTACTGAACACAAGAAACCGCCAGTCTTGAACAAAAGTTTTTTTAAAACACCTAATTTATTTATCACTTATTTACACCTTTCTCCCCCAAGATGTGTTTGAACCTACTAACAATAATGAAAGGCACATCAAAAACCAAGTCTTACTGTAAATGTAACACACACACTTCTAAATTAAGCAATATAGCCAGTATCCAAACAGTTAGCCTTCATTCAGGTGCTGAAAGTTCCACTAAATAAAATTGTAAGCCAGAATCCTATATGTCCTATCACATTATGTAACTGTGTATACTTAGATATGTGGCAGAGGCTGTAGGACACCTCTTTACAGAATTGTAAAGATGTGTAGCAGGAGGCTGAAATGAGAACCAGATGCTCATTGGTATGGTGCACATGGTAGCATTGCACACCAATGTTCATTTCTTACTATCGAACATCACACACTGGTTTGCATAAGGAACACTTCATTACACACCTTGGTTGTTCACCAGGTGCTTTGCCAGCTCTCCTACATCGAAACATAACAGCAACTCTCTGGGATACAGACGTTACACAACTGTGCAATTCTAACTCTTAGAGGCCTAAGAACTTAATCACATGGAGATCCTCAAGCTGGAGGACAACAGGGGAATCCATCCGGCAGCAGGGCAAATCCATTGGGCAGCGGGGAAAAACCAGTTTTAAGCTCCCCTCATTGCCTGCATTGCTCCTTTCCCCATCACACGGGGAAAACCATCATTGTCCAGCTTCCTCCTGCACTGTCCCTGGCTTAGGTAATGAGAACACGGGCTGCCAGCTACCCATGTTTTCAGGGCTCCATTCTACAATGCTGTTGGAGCTCAGCCTGTAATTGTGTTTCAGGATCAGGCTGCTTTGGATGTGGGGAGTGATGTTAATGAGTTGCAGGATGAATTTCAAGATGGCAATGGTTTGGTCAAGGATATCGATGCAGAGAATGACCAGGAGATCCCTGTTCAAAGTGTAGTTTCCCATGAGAATGTCTCTGAGGGGTGTGGGGATGATGGTGTGCTTTGTGAATTGTTACCAGAGAGTTCCCATGATAGGGAACATGAAAACAGCTCAGCACCTGGCCCAGCTGCAGAAATTAATGAGCAAATACATAGATGGGAGAAGATCAGTGAAAACAGGAGAGCCGAACAATGGCTTCGGCATTCTGCCAGGCTCTGAGAGAAAAAGATAAAAAATTCTCAGCTAAAGCGAAACCAATTTCTGAGTGCTAGAGACATAGCTAAAAAGGAGATAAAAGTCCCAAGTAAAGGATATTTATTTATTTATTTATCTATTATTTGAACTTATATGCCGCCACTCCCCTGGGGCTCGGAGCGCCTTACAAGAACAGGCTAAAATCGAACACAATTTAAAAACAATTAAAAACAATTTAAAAACAATCAGAGATCAAAGGCCCGTCAAAATAGATATGTCTTACATGCCCTGTAGAAAGCTGACAAATCCCGCAAGGCACGGACTTCAGGTGGCAGAGTATTCCAGAGTGATGGTGCCACTGCTGTAAAGGCTCTGCATCTGGTTGCTGTTAGACGCAAGGTCTTGACATTTGGAATTTCCAATAGATCTTGGTCCTCAGAACGGAGGGATCTCTGGGGTTGGTAGGGGGTGAGGCGGTCCCTCTGGTACATCGGCCCCAGACCATGCAAGGCCTTAAAGGTGAGTACCATCACTTTGAAAGTGATCCGGTGCTCAACTGGTAACCAATGCAGCTGCAGTAAGATTGGTGTTATGTGGCATCTCATCGGAATTCCCGCAAGAAGCCGAGCAGCTGCGTTTTGTACCAGCTTGAGCTTCCGGATCACCGACAGAGGAAGGCCAATATAGAGGGCGTTACAGTAGTCCAGTCTTGAGATGACAGTAGCCTGGATCACCGTAGCTAGGTTGTCCCTGGACAGGTAGGGGGCCAGCCGTCTAGCCTGCCATAGATGAAAAAAGGCGGTTCTGCTAGCGGCAGAGACCTAGGCCTCCATTGTCAGCAGAAGGTCCAAAAGGATTCCCAGGCTCTTTACCAATGATGACGGGCGTAGCGCCTTGCCATCCAGGGTAGGCAGCTGGATATCCCCACTGCCTGGTTGACCCAGCCATAGGATCTCCGTCTTTGCTGGATTCACCCTCAACCTGCTGGCACGCAGCCATCCAGTAACGGCCTCGAGGCACTGATGGAAACAATCAGGTATAGAGTCCGGTCGGCCTTCCATCTTCAGCACAAGCTGAGTGTCATCAGCGTACTGGTAACTCTCAAGCCCAAAACCTTGAACCAGCTGAGCAAGTGGTCGCATA